TACTATTATAAACCATTTGATGTATGCAGATGATTTGGTGATTTTTTGTCCATATAGTGCTGGTCTTCAACAGTTACTGAGGATTTGTTCTCGATATGGTTCAGATTTTGATACTAAATATAATGCCAAAAAGAGTAATATTATGATTGTTAGGAGTAGGGGGACCAGAAAACTGACATTTCCTGACTTCTCTGATGGCCTGTCTGTTGATAGGGATATTTACAGACAGTGTTGTACGCTGTATGCCCAGGCCAATATGTTGATTCGCAAATTTGGCATGTGCTCAGGATCTGTGAAGACTACACTTTTTAAAGCATACTGTACCCCTATGTATACTGGCCATTTGTGGCGCAATTTAATGTGCTGCATTATTTTGCTCATTGCGCCCTCCTGTGGCTATGGGAGACAAGACAAATGTTTAACCTAATCTGCATATAAAACATTAGAAATTAAATATTTGTTTAATTTTTATTTTGTGTTTGACTGTTATAACAACAACAACAAAAGTTGTTCATTTAAAAGAGTTAATTTAAAAATACAGTGGTTAAATGTACATTTTTTTTTTATTGCTCTGTCGTGCACTGTCGGCTTCACAACTTTACAGATAGTTTATGTTCACATACAGCTACATGACACACTGCATGAAAGGTAATATTCGAAAAGGCATAATAGAGGCACTTTAATAAAAACTTTTATATGGCTATAATTCTCAAACATTATGTCTAACATACAGTGGGTACGGAAAGTATTCAGACCCCCTTAAATTTTTCACTCTATACTGTATGTTAGACTAATATGTCAATTATTATTACTACTAATAAATAAAATTTTGTACTAAATATAATATATATATTATATTATATATAATATATAGTTGTATAGATATAGATATATAGATATATATTATTATATATATATTATTATATAATATATATAAACAATAATAATTTGATTACAACCATAAAATTACAATACTAATATTTTGTCTTGTTTTCTGAGAAATTCATCAAAATGAAGTGAATTTATGATAAAAAAAAAGGACAAATATCTGATCAAATCAACTTATTTCAAAGGGAAAACAACTTTTCATATTTTTTTAGATAAACTCACTCAATTACGTTCAATTTCTCAAAAACCAAGACTTCATATCTTAATTTTGCATTTCAAGTAAATGTATCTTGCTATCGTGATTTAAGGATGTTTAGATATTTGTATTAGAAAACAAGACAAAAATACTGACAAAAAAAAAAAGTGTGTAAATATATATATATATATATATATATGCATTTAATTCCATAACTTTATTAATTTAAGACTTTCTGCTCCAATTTAAGACCTTTTAAGGCCTTAATTTGTGGAAGGGCAAATTAAGACTTTTTAAGACCTGCAGAAACCCTGGTCTTCAAAAATGATCTACTAAAATAGCATCTTATCTCAAGGTCTCAATCAGCATTTCTAACCCTTATGTTCTTGACTGCTTTATTTAAGGATTTTATTAGCGTTAGGGATGTCCACCTGTTCATTTAGTTGTGTTACTTGGGCTTCCAGCTCCTTCTCTCCTTTAGCAGGTGTTGCTGACATCACAGGGATCTTTTTGGCAGAGGAGGGTCGGGAGGTGGAGGTGGAGGTGGAGGATTTAGGGGTTGAACTAGTTGATCTAGTAGCTCCTGCACACAAGTTAACAGATGCCATGATGCAATTTAGTAGATGCTAAATGCCAGTTGATTAATGATGAATATTAAGAACTGATGTCACAAGCAGCCCGCCTCTAACAGACCTGCGGTGGGAGAGCTGATGGCATGCTGGGATTTCTTCGGCAGGTTGAAGATCTGCTCGCCGGGATCTGGAGGGGGAATGGCGTCCTGGCCCTGTCTGGCCTGGACCGGGTCGTACTCCTTCCCGTCGTAGTTGGCGTCAAAGAACTTCTTGAACCACTGAATGAAGTCCAGGTTGTCTTGAAACCGTCCCTTGACAAGCTTCTCTACAGGGATGATCTAAGAGGGAAGGAAACAGGATGTAAATGTGAAAAAAATTACATTACACAGATAACTTTCCATAACAAATACAGATTTATATGTTAAATTAGGTGTTCACAAAACAGTGGGGTCCACAAACATCTGATTTGTAAAACCACACTTTTTTTTTGAAAATATTTTTTTCTATTTTATTTTATTAACTGCAAACACCTGAATATGTTATTAAATTATTGAAATATTAATTTAAAGTCTCAAGTAAATATTTTAGGTCAAAGAGGTTCAGCTGACAAAAAAAGTTTGTGAATCCCAGCATTAATTAACATAAATGATTATTTGAAGTGTGATTTCTTTTTATTGCATGCATAAAAAGTCTCCATCTGTCAGATATCACAAATAGAAGTGTCCTAAGAAATCTCTGTCTCTCTGACTGTCTGGACTCAAAAAAATTAATTATGTAAATATAAAAAAAAAAAAATGTGGCTCGATCATGCTTATTTTAGAGAATCAGAAACACTTTCTGTATGTCAATCATTTTGCACATTTGGGTTTATTGATGTCAGGTTTGCTGACTGAGTTTTGATTTGAGGGTGTGTGGTTGAAAATTGGCTGAAATCGCTTACAGTTTTTAAGAAAAATAATGGGTTATATCCATTCAAGCATTATAAAACAGCACTGTTATACCTTGTTTTTCAAGTGCACGCTTTTAAGCAGAAAAAAGTCTGGAATTTTTTATAAAACGACAGCACTGAGTGAATAACGAGGCTCAAAAGTAGAAGCAACATTTTCAATATAATTTTTATATATATATATATATATATATATATAATAAATTGGCTGAAATAATAAATTGTTGTATATATATATAATAAATTGTTGAAGAGCAGGGGTGACCGAGCATTTGCAGTGGCGGCCCCAAAGCTCTGGAATAGTTTGCCCCTCTACATTAGACAGGCTCAAACACTTGCTGTCTTTAAATCTAGCTTAAAAACTCATTTTTATAGTCTGGCATTTGACGCTACATGAGAGCTGCTTTCTTCTATTGTTTTATGCTGTTTTATTGTCTTTTTTTGTGTTGTTGACTGTTCGTAATCACTGACATTTTTATTCTCTTATGTGTGTACAGCACTTTGACAATCACTTGTTGTTTTTAAAAAAGTGCTTTATAAATAAACTTTGACTTGACTTGAAATATTTAATATTAACATTTATTATTTTAACAAATTAACATTATTTTTAATTACCATTATTATTTATTATACTTTTTTTTTCATCTAATGTTAAGATTTTGTTGTAAAGAAGGCAATGACAGCTGCACTGTAAAAATATTTTTCTTTGTAAATAAAACAAAGAATATTGCAGTATGTTTTACAAGAAAATACTATTTCACTTTTTCCATTTCAAAATTTCACATTTAATTTAATGTGTCACTTGCCATTCATTTGTAATTAATAGTGAATTTTACAAGCAATTTCTTTTTAAGGGTGGAAATAATACAGGTATTATAATTACACAGGGAACTGTAAAGCAGCCATAAATATTTAAACACTGTTTTAGCAGTGTGCGTTCAGTAAGGCATAGTGGGATAACAACTACTCATAAAGCTTGTGAATAATAGAATTAAATCAGTCTGGGGTTATGAGATCTTTTATGTATTTTCTTATCACACAAATCCACTACTGTTTTTCATGCTCAAATGTACTTCTCTATGGTGATTTTGCGAGGGATTTTATTTCTAACCAGATTTTCAGTGGTTATAGTGAAAGCATGACTGCGAGGCTCTCTTGTTCGTCTCACCTTATCAACGTTCATCCTCTTGAAGGAGGCCTGCAGGAGTTTGAAGTTGTGGATATATTCATGCTCCAGCTTGGCCTGGAATTTCACCTTCTTAAGACTGATGCAGCCGGGAAACAGCATGTCCATGAACTGACAGTACGCTGCTCCTGAAAAGAGATGCACAAACGATACGCTGGGTCAAAAAGGTTTTGTGAACTCTTTCTGTCTCTCCAACACTTTCAACCAGATTTAGTTTCAGTCTCAGGTTCATCTAAGTGTCCAATTTACTCTGCAGTAAACTTAATCTGCCCAATCAGAAGAAATAAAACAAGGGCACTTAAAGGGAGATCCATTTGACTCCAAGGATGTCATTTAAAAAAGCCATGTAAATCAATGTCTTCTGCCTGTCTAGGTAAAGCAGGAGCTTTTCCAGAGGATATTCAGTGTCTCGGAGATCTTTAAATACCTCTGGCCTGACCTGTGCTTATGCTGAACTAAATTAAGATACTGATGTGATGTCATGCTAAAGCACCGAACCTAAATGATGAAGTTCCATGATTACTGGAAAGAAAACTGCTCTCAAAACATAATACTTATAAACCCTGAGATTTTAATGCAGATCTTTGAAGATTAATTTTTGTCTCTTACTGTACAAACCGGTATGTTTAGGTAGAAATTAGCAGCACATACAGTCTTCAACAGACTGAATTAATTATTTTATAGTAGAGCTACATATTTGACTAGAAAAAAAAAGTATTAATAGTAATATAACAATAAGAATATATAAATGGAAATGTATATAATTGTGTGTGTGTGTGTATGTATATATATATATATATATATATGTATATACACACACACACACACACACACACATTTATTCTTATATTAAATCTTAATAAATCTAATTATTTTCTTTATTCTATTATTATTTACTTGAATAGTATGTGTTTTAATTATTTTAGTATTATTTATTTATTTAGTACATTTCTATGCCTTTAAATCACAATTTAAATGACCTGGTAAAGATATATTCCCTAAACTATAATAAACTACTTATACATAAGACTACACTGTAAAAAAAATTCCGTAAAATTTACGGTAAAAAAACGGCAGCTGTGGTTGCCGGAATTTTACCGTAAAAAATACGGTAGCAACGTTTTAGGTTTTAACTTAAATTTACATTTAAATACCGTAATTTCATTAACTGATATAATGTTAATATACCAACCTATTGAAGTACTGAAATCTGTTTTGTACCTTTGTAATACACTGATAACCACCAAATAAATGCAGGTGGTGATGAGAAAGTCACATGATGAACCAAAGCCCATCACACGCAGATTTTAAATAATAACATATATAGAAGGTGCACTGTGTCGTTCAAACAAACACTAAACACCATCATGGTAACACACATGAAACTGAAATAATGCAATAAACATTCATTTAACAACATTAGGTGTAACACACAACCCTAATATACAAAACTGATAAGAAAAAACTAAGAAGAAACATAGTTATTTCAACAAAAAAACATCAAATTTGAAATGTAACGCAGGGAATTCTGGGAATGTCAATTTACGGTTATTCACTGTAAATTATACAGTATTTTTCACTTCCAAAAATGGTATACTACCGTAAAATTTATGTCCAATACATGTAATGTCCAATACAGTTTTTCACCGTATATAGTAGGGGAATTTACCGTTAACCATTTAACAGGTTTTTACTGTAGCATTTTTACAGTCTTTTACCGTTAAATTCACGGTCATAGGCTTTATTAGCCTATTCATTCCATTCCATTCATTAAAATAATTCCTTTCTCATCATTAACTTGTCAATCCTTCTGAAATCCTGCAAAATCCCATCAAATTAAAATCGCACAAAGGACTGGAACTGATCTTCTGATAGTTGCAAAAGAATGAAGAGAACTTTACCTGATTGAATTTCAAACAACTAATTAAACGACGATTAATCAACAGCAGTGATCAAAAGTAATGTAGTTATTTATTTCAGATGAAATTAAATGCAAATGTAAGAGAACTTGATGAAAGAATACTGAAACTAAATGGGCAGTTGACAAACAGCAACATTTTTGCTATAAGGAAAATGTAATATTTTGGATTTTTTGTAATATTTGCAGTTCGTTTAAACAGCCCTGTGGTATGAAAAAATTTTTAAGTATACATTTTCCATATTATGCTCATATAAAATTGCATAATAACTGTATAATTGCATAATGATAATACAATAATTAAATTAAAATTGTTTAAAATAGTTTTCAATGAAATACAGCATGTCAAATTGAAACAAAACACAAAAACACTATTATTAGATGATTCAAAGCTATACTTGCTTTTGACTGCAATAAAGAAGTTCTAGTTTAATTACTTTTTTAATGTGGTTAACTCTATTCCCAGGTTCATAATTCATGGCTGTGTTACCTAAAGCAGCTGAGATTTTACAACAGCTTTACTGGCCAGCATTTATTTACACAAACGTTTAAAGGTAGCAGCCGTCCTACAGCAGCGCAGACGAGCGCTAACAAAATGCCTCCGTGTAAATCCTCTGGGATTACTGCTCTTTGTGTCTAATGAGTGTCAGCGGTGGGTTAAGTTGGGAGGTTCACATACCTGATGACAGCTGCTCCACTTTAGTGTAGTTTAGACAGAGCAGATCGTTCACCCAGGCTGTGATGTCATGCCTGCTCATCGTCTCCTGGGTGATTGAGGTAGAATAAACATTGACCGCCATCCCCCAGCTGTGGACGAGACACAGACATCAGCATCAGAATCACGTGCAGAATCAAGTCTGAATGACACTATCAGCTCTGGTACTGACTGAATCATCTTGTCAGTCTGAGCAATTTACAATGCATGCATACTATAACAGCAGAATGTATTAAGTCTAAAGTCATCCTCTTACTTTGTTATTAAAATTATGCAACTGTGCAATTGCAATGCATTTCTAAGAGTTTTAGTATCTAAACTGAAATCGACTGAACTGGGACAACATCTATTATTGAATTTATACACTTTAAAGGACTAGTTCACCCAAAAATGAAAATTTGCTGAAAATCTACTCACCCTCAGGCCATTTAAGATGTAGATGAGTTTCTTTATCATATTTGGAGAAATTTAGCATCACATCACTTGCTCACCAATGGATCCTCTGCAGTGAATGGGTGCCGTCAGAATGAGACAGCTGATAAATAAATCACTATAATCCACAAGTAATTCACACCACTCCAGTCCATCAGTTAATGTCTTGTGAAGAGAAAATCTGTGAGTTTGTAAGAAACAAATCCATCATTAAGACGTTCTTAACTTCCAACCATTGCTTTCCGATGAAATCGGAGTCCTCTATCCATAATATTGCTATTTCTGGTGAAAAAGTCGTCTGGTCTGAATCAGGAGAGAAATATGCACAGATCAAGCACTGTTTACAAGCGAAAACAATTGTAAACAAATATGTCGGTGGATTTTGATGTGAGAGGACAACAGGGGATTTCCACTTCCTTTTTCCAATGGTGGAACTGTTTGAACTTTTTTTTTTCAGAGAAGCAATGGTTTAAAGTTTAAATGATAGATTTGTGTCTTACAAACATGCAGCTTTTCACTTCACAAGATGTTAACTGATGGACTGGAGTGGTGTGGATTATTGTGATGTTTTTATCAGCTGTTTCTCTCATTCTGACGGCACTAGGGACGCACAGGAATGAAAATTCTGGGCCGAAACCGAAACCTCTAGATGCACTTGGCCGAAAACCGAAAACGGAAACAAAAATGCTTTTTAACAATTATTTATTATTATAAATAATATTAAATTATTTTGTACGACTTTTTAATTTAACTCAATAATTTTAATGATAATGAATTTAAAAAAAATACAAGCCAATAAAATAACCACGCTTTTATTGAAAGTAAAAATAAAACCGGACAAAAAAATATTAATATTAAATATCAATATATTATTTTTATTCAGTTCTGTGCAACAGAATCAGATTTAACTGAATTTATTTTTGTATAATTATCCAAATAATGTACAGTCCTACAAAGCTATTATTATCAGAGCATGTGAGCAGAGCATAGCGTCATTTTACCAGCGTTGCCTAGTACAGCTCTACTACACCATGTTACAGCACAGTAGCGCTATTGCAAACAGGAACAAGTTTACTACTTAGTATACTAAGTATACTACTATACTATTGATCATGTGCAGTACGTGAGTGGAGCGTTCGCATAGGCCATGAGCAACTCAACTGAACACACATTCATAGAGAGGAATATCCACACAGTGATGACGGCCAGAGAAACCTGCGCGCTGAACACTACTGGGCTGTGCCGGCGTGCCATATATTTTCAGACGTTTTTCTCTTTCGGCCAAAGACCGAAAAAGCCATTTTCGGCGGCTGAAATTTTGGTGCATCCCTAGACGGCACCCATTCACTGGTGAGCAGGTGATGTAGTGCTACTTTTCTCCAAATCTGTTCCCATGAAGAAACAAACTCATCTACATCTTGGATGGTCTGAGGGTAAATAAAATTTCAGCAAATTTTCATTTTAGGGACTATTCCTTTAAGAGCTCTGAACGTTTCCTGCTATCTAGCGTCGCACGTTTTGCCCATAAACACTGTGTAACATGATCCTAATGTCAACTAGGTAATCACCAAGTAAATATCAAGATATACAGAGCGTTCCACGATGTTAAATAGAAGCTTTTGAGCTTTGTTTGTTCTCATACAGAACTGTGAGTTCACTGACTGTCTATCCAATTTTTTCAACTCAAAACTAAACAAAGAAAAACATCTAAAGGAAAAAAGTTTGGCATATAAATAAATACGTAAAGTACTTTTTAAATGTATGTACAAACATGTTAATTTTCCATCACAAAACAGCGTTTGATGTCAAACCAGACTGCCAATAATTTTGCCTCAGACAAAAAAAAGTCTTTCTGTTTAGGAATTGAGGTTTGCTAGTCCTCCACTGAAAGTCCTTGAAAAGCTATTGATGAGAGGATAAATTTAAAACATCTCAGTTTGGCACAAAACACAGTTTGATTTGGTGGATGCTGGCTGACATGATATAAGCTGATAATTATTTTCATGCTATGACTGATAACCTAAATATGACTGATATTAAAATGCTATTTTGTCTAAAAATAAATAAAAACAAACTTAAATCAATAGTACCAATTTAAAATCAATGTTGTAACGCTTAAAATATTTTAGGCATCACAACATTTTAGTATACAGTATGAAGTATTGATTATTTATTTATAGAAAGTTGAACAGTGGGACCGCTAACATATCAAGTTCATGATAACAAAAATAACCTAAAATCTAAAAATTGGGAGAAACAAGCATTAATTGTGTACTTTTTTTAAATCAGTTTTTAAAAAACATGGTCCTGAAATGTAATCCCTATTACAAACCGGTTGTTTAAAATAATAATAATAAAAAAAACTATAACAAATCAAAGCTCTTTTGTGCCACACTTTGACACAAGTAAAACAGCAATGCTGTCCAGTTATTAACAGGGCACAATTAAGCATATGAACATATCAAAGATCATCTCAATTTACACATAATAAACTAACCTAATTCAATCAACTGACCAAAGCCAGTTTCAGATCACTGCCAATAGAAAGACCCAACAGATCAATCCCGTTCTCCTTGATTTCCCAGTGCACCATCATATGAATAATGAAGCGAATCCCTCAAGAAAACCCACATCTCTTATTATATAAGATTTATTCCAGGATGACAAATGCACCTCCCTATTAATTTCTCATGGCTTTAATAAACTTAAACACACACTGCATTTCCAGACATTAGTGCTTTTGTGCTTAAAGGGCAGATTCATCTAAATTTAGCAGGAAAGATAAACAGTTTAGTGAGATGTTGGAATGAAGGGGGGAGGGAAAAAAATTCAGAGGAGCCAAGAAATCAGTGTCAACAAAAGCAGTCAACCCAAAACATGTTTATAGACCCGTAAAACACATGCAATCATATTTTTACCGATGCACGAGATTATTACCCAGTATTAGGCGCGACACGCACGCCATAACAGACGATCTGAACAGATTTTGGGGATAGGATGAAATGAATTACATTACGCAATGGCTGACTGCTTGGTGAACATACAGGCCATGCACTGTCAAAACCTGGGAAAGCACCCTGTCAGCGCACATCCCAACATACATCCATCTCAAATCATATGCATAACGTCTGAGAAAAAGCCCAAAAGCATGAACGCCTTCACTAAACAGCGTTTAACATGTTTTTTTATGACTGCATCATCGGGGAAACGCCATAGCTGGCTCAGGAAAAGCCCCACCGTTAGATATAACGCAGCCATAATGGGAGTTCGGGGTTCCCAGAGCGAGTGCATTGGGAAAGCATGGATTAAAACGTATAATCTTGATATTTTCGGCTAAATGCATTGTTTGTAGGTCGCTTAAAGCGGTGGTTTCTTTGTAAAGCGGCCGGCGGGTGGTAACGGCAGTGGTGTACCTGTAGGCGCGCTCTCCACGCACTGTGTTCTTTCTGTAGGGAATGATGTTGGTGCCGTTGCTGTCCGGAATGATGTCGTTGTTGTTCTCTCCATTGGGGGACAGAGCTTGCATCGGACCGGGCATTTGACTCTGTGAAATATCACGGAACTACAGTCATGTGACTTTGGGAGGGGCGCTTCAGATTTGAGCCAGTGGAACTTTGCCTCTTCCTAAATACGTCGTTATATATTATATATATATTATGTATTTTATAGGAATATAGTTTTGTGGTCTGTCGCCCTCATAAGACCCAGGAAAAAGTTCCCAGGTTTCTCTTCCTAATGACAGACCTGCATCTAGGCCCTTAAATATGTTCATTAATAAATATGTATGGGTTGACAAAGACATTCCAATTTATGACTAAACTTTATCTCTACTGCTACATATAAATGAATCTGCTCTTTACGCTCAACTAAATGTCTGGAAATGCATGCGACAGTGCATAGCATGCTTAATCTTATTATTGTCTTCAGGAAGACAAAATAGATAAATAACAACATTAATAATTATTAAAATGTTTCTGGAGCACCAAATCAGCATGTTAGTTTGATTTCTGAAGACTGGAGTAATGATGCTGAAAATTCAGCTTTGCCATCACAGGATGGAATAAATTACATTTTGAAAATATATTCAAATAAAAAAAGTTGCAGTAATATTTCATAATTATACTGTTTTTACTGTATTTTTTATCAAATAAATGCAGCCTTTGTGAGCATAAGACACTATATTTTCAATAATATAAATTATAATAATATGATATAAAATAAACAGTCCAAAAAGAAACATACAGTGCTTTTTGCAATTCTAGATATCTGGCTCTATATGTGATGAGGCCCGTGGCTCATTATTCTTCACTGTATTGCAAAGAGTGCTGTGATTTAATTTATGATATATACACATTACACAAAGTTTAGATAAGGCTCTTGTTGTATGACATCTTTACAATGTAGTCTCTCCAACCAATCAAATCTATGGTTTTTACAGTCAAAACAGAGAGATAAATTATCGAAATGGCCTGCCGGGTCATGAGCAATAGTCTTAAACTGATGAATGAAGAATTTTGAAGATATCATACTTTTACAAGTGATGACATTACAAATGGAAAAAACATTAGTGAGGTTATTTAAAGTTTTCTTATGCTCCAGCATAGTACACCAAAGCTAACTGTATGAGATTTTTTTTTTTTCAGTTTAAATTTTACATGTTTATGGAAAATGGTTACATGTAAATTTACAGTGTAATCTGTCTGCGATGTCATTTTACCATGATGTGATCAACAAGGAAAATATCTGTTGATGTTATTTATACTGGTTGAATTAAGATTTAAAAATGATGATGAGCTTTAGCGAATAAGTATTTACTCCGATATATACATTTGAGACATTCAAGTGAACAAATTTGGTTGTAGCAAACCCCACTGCAACACTCGACAATACATAAAGTACATCAAAAAATATTACCGACAGAGTTAATAGCTACAAATAATTAAACAGTCAAATAGATAGTAAAAGTTAGTGACTGAAGTGTTCCATGCATATGCATTAAACACATGTTCCTACTACCATAAATCTGGTCATAAATAAACTGCCAGTGGACAATGTTAAGCCATACATCTATTTAAGAACATTACAAAAGATTAGTCTTATATTAATGGTTGAGTTTCCAATGGCTGACACTGAGATATATATATATATATATATATATATATCAGAGGTAGTAATGTATGACTAAGCCAATAAGTGCTCCTCTCCTGCTGTCTACTGGTTCTAATTGCGATTTGATGTATTTTTACAATTTTACACAAGTGTTTGTTTACCACACAGTATATTTTGTTCATCCCATTAAAAATAACATTGAAACTGGATCATTTTAGAGCTTTAAAGTGCTGGAAATAGTTGTGTGAAATGCTTGAAAGTCATTGAAAAGTGCTTGAATTTCTCTCTCAAAAGGTTGTACAAACCCTGAAATGAATGATGTAATGTATTCGACTATTTCTACCACAACACCATGGTTACAGTTAGCGTTACCGCTTCTGGTTTCCTGAGGTAGCCTATGTCAGCGCTGTTTTATAACAGAGATTTCTGTGCAGAATTTGAATGATTCTCAGTAGATCTCGCAGCAACCTTATCATTGTGTGGCGAACTCAAACGCTTCACACTGGATCTCGCAGCACTGTTGCATCTATGCAGTAAACAGTGTCGCGAAATCAACTTTGGCTCCCGAGTAAAGCTGTTCTGAGCTCAGATAAGTTTGTTTGCGTCGCGGTCCGAGCTGTGCAGCTGAAACGTAGCGCGGTTTAGTTTCGCTTTCGTTTGCCGTTTGTGTTTCACAAATGCAACAGAAATGGCAGCGCTTATGAGTTGGGCAACGCGGTGGTCGCACCAGTGCGACCGCTCACAAAAATGAGTCGCACCGGCAGAAAAAATGGTCGAAGTCTGGAGCCCTGTATATATATATACACGTCTTAGTACAGACATTTTTATTTTGCTTCCACTCTAGCAATTCGAAGAGAAAAGTCAAAATGGTGTGACAAACTCAGAATTGCAAGATGTAAACTCTCAATTGCAAGAAAAAAAGTCAGAATTGTTAGATGAATTGTGACATGTAATTCGAAAATTCTGAGTTAAAAAGTCAGAATTTTGAGAAAAAGAGTCATCGCAAAATATAAACTTGGAATTGGGAGTAAAAAAAGTCAGAATTCTGGGTTTATATATCACAATTCTGACATTTTTCTCAAGTTGTCCAAATTATGAGATAAAAAATTATGTTTATTCTTTATTCTATGGCAGAAACAAGCTTCTAAGACGCTCTTTAGAACATCTCAAATGGTGTTGAAGAAAATGATCATATTTCTTAAAGGGGTCATATTATGCGATTTCAATTTTTCCTTTCTCTTTTAAGTGTTACAAGCTCTTGGTGCATAAAGAAGATCTGTAAAGTTGCAAAGACTAAAGTCTCAAATCCAAAGAGATATTCTTTATAAAAGTTAAGTCAGCCACGCCTACCTAAAACGGCTCGTTCTAACACGCCCCCACATACCTAC